TTTTCCTGGTGCCCCAGGCACACCTATCTGCATTCCTGGTTTGGGAACCAGAGCTACGATAGTGCAGGGAGCAAGCCCAGGCTGCCCTGAAGCCTCCACCACCTGGAGGGCTACCTGTGACAGTGCTACACATCTCTACCCTCCACTGCCATGGAGGACATCGCTGCCAGCATCAACACCTTCCTTGGGGTGTGAGAGGCCTGTGCCCACTGAGCTGTGGGAACATGGGCTGCTCAATAAAATTTTGAACTGTGTCCTGCCTCTCTGCATCCTGTGGTGGGGAACCTGGGTCCAGGGAAGTATGGGTAGGCTGGGCACAGAGCGGAGGCAGGGGTAGGGCTGGGGACTGGGAGGGCTATCCCCCAGTGCAGGACTTACCATAAGTCCAGGGCTGGCGAGGCTGGCAGCTTGGTGTGGGGCTCCCCATGAGTGATGGTGTCTGGCTGTGCCCAGTGCCCATGGCCTGCAGTGTGTGGTAGGCCAGTGCCCAGCCAGAGATACTCCTCTAGGGAGGAGCTGGCATCCAGCCATGACATGGCGCAGACAGCTGCTCCTTGTGGCAGGGTGTGTGGCTCAAGTCAGCTGCTGGGCAGGACTCCCTGAGCTGCCAGTGGATGCAGCAGCCAGGGAGGTAGGTGGGGTGGGGGCTGAAATGCCAAGGTCCCTTCCTCTGGTGACGTGTCACTGGAGGCACCAGGATGGGGCGCAGGCAGGGGCAGGCTACCCCTGCTGATGGCACTTGCAGGGGTGTGGCCTGTCTCTGGGGGAACCAAAAGGTGAGTCAGCTCCTGCATGAAGGGCAAGGTCTTCTGGCCATGACTGGACCAATAAATTGAAGCCAGCCATGACCACCCACTGTGCCCACAAGACCTTCAACTTTACACAGCACTGCTGCGCCATCCAAGAGTGGCCTCGCACATGCATCCTGGCTGAAATGGCCTCATAAATGTGGGCATTTGAGAGCCGTCTGCCTGAGAACTGCCTCTGGTCTTTGGTCCCACCTCAGAGCACCACAAGGTCACATTTCTTCTTGAGGGTCCTATTGGGTCCCTGGGTGCTCAGGATGGGCGTGGGCACACAGGCAGAGCTGGGCCCCAATGGGCATCATATGCTGAACATGATCACCATGCCATCTTTGTGGGCCCCCCACATGGCTGTCCCTGTGACACATGGAGCTTGAGGAAACAGACTGGGTTAAAATGTTCCTGAGCGAACTTCGGTCCTACTACAAGAATGAGGTGGGAGAGGATGGAGAAGACGCAGCCAGCTCCACCTGGAAAAGGGACACTTGGCACAGGCTGTTCAAGGACCCCCAGGAGGGGAAGAGGACAGGGAGAACGAAAAGGACAAGGATGTAACTGGACCCAGAGACAGCGAGGAAGACAGCAGCAGGATCAGCAGCAGCAGAAGTGACAGTGACAAGGACAGGGAATGAACTGAGAATGTAAACCTCAAATCGGGGCTTGGACTAAGGGACTGTGATTGGGTTAGGGAAGGGCAGTGGGTGGGTGCACAAGGGTGCAGGGGAGTGGGTGCATTTATTGTAATGGGTGTGCAGTTTCTTAATGTGGTTTAAGGTGTGTGATGGAAAGTTTT